GAATAATAGCAAACGCACCTCTACCAATGGCTACAAAAGTAACAAAATATCCAATTGAAAAAAACCATACATCTTATATCCAAAAGGCTAAAACTATTGTGAAAAAAGAAGAACTCTCCCTACTGCCTATATGATGTGTAGAAAGCTGTGACAAGGTTTTATATGAGACAACTACCTCTTAGTAACAGTACATCCAAGAAGATGCTTATCAATATCATGAAACTTATATTGGAAAGTAGATCTGGTCCTTTCTTTTTTGGGTTTTTGCTACTTGAAAGAAGATGAAAAGAATCGATTGGAATCCAACTCCCAAAAGTTGCTAATAAATAAGCCTCATTTTCATCTACTTGACTCACATATCATCGAATTAGTCAAACCTATTAATCTTCTAAAGTCCTATATTTTGTCATCAACATTTCTTTCAATGTCCTCATTGAGAAATTGAGGGTGCAAAGAAAAGAAATCGTGAAGAGCAGGATGAAACTTGAGAATCATAAGTTCAATGAGAAGCTGAAGCCTCAAAGGTAGCTATTGGAGAAAATTCCAAGGAGTGTGACCCAAGCATTATTCAATCAGTTAAGCTCGAACATTAAAAAATGGCACATTCGATTATTATGGGCCAAGGAGCCATCATTACTAGCACATAAGATACGTATGGTGGAGTGATTATGAATAGAGCAAGTCCATAACTAAAATAATATCCTATGGTAATCCACATTGAGGGAACTAAACAAAAAATTCTCTCCTTCCACAGGAATAACTGAGAACAATCGAAGTTTGGACTATGTGGACATCCTCCTCTCCGTAAAGGGAGGCCATTACTCTTATGCAAACGTTACTCCATTAACATGATCATAAAGAATCCACTTATGCAAAAACTTAAAATAACTCTTACAAAGGGCTTATTGACCTTTAAAGCATCAACTTGACTTTAAGACCATGCCACGCAAAGAACAAGAAAGAGGAAAAAAAGGACCAAGTTGTGAGGATCAATGTCATTGGCTCCAATGTTTTTTATTGGTTGTCATTAAAGAAGGACATTAACTATCACACTTGCCTACAATAAATAAGGAAAAATGAAGTATCACATGCCTATCCGATGAAGACACACCATGTAATCACTTGAAAGAAGTACTGCCACATCATATTAATGGGAAACAACAAAATGACCATTAGTAATGATACCAAAAGTTTATGCCTCACATCATGACAAATGGATGAAACCATGTATTACAAGATAGTATGAGACATGAAGACTTTGAAAACTCATTAGGGTTAAGATAAAAAAGATTGCAGACAAGCACAACTAAATACTTATTTAATGCCCAAATTGATCGTTAAAAAATGAACCATGGGTCGAAGCCAACATAAGTGTGACTCCAAAAGGACACATATATACTTCCACAAAAGAGGGTTAATTCATAGTGACAAAGATAACTCTATGAAGACTAGCTCCCACGAAGGAAAAAGAAATAGATAACGGAGCAAGGTAAGAACAAAGGAAGAAAGACAAAGAAGCAAGTTGTGATGATTGACGACATCTGTTTTAATGTTATTTATAGGCCATGATTGAATTGTCTCCAGCACTCATGTCTGCCATTAGGAAGGAAGATCATTTACACCTGCCTAGCATAAGGTAGAAAGAGCCATTGCCCTAAAAATCTAGTGGAAGCTTGCCATGTGCATTTTCAAGAAAATATTTACAAGTAATCTTAATAGGAAACAATGAAATGCTCTTTGGTTATGACGACAAAAAATCATGCCTCACAGGAATACCAATGGATAAAGCCAAACATTGCAAAATAGCTTTAAGATTATGATACCTTGACAACTTATCATAATTCAAACCATTTTTTTTTTCTTAAGGCTCACCTTTCTAAGCAAAATGGTTTCAAAATAAGGGAGGCTAATGTGGGAAGAAAAATCTATTCTCTTGAAATGTATAGACTATACTTTGGTGAAACATTTTGGATGATTGATTCACTGGAGTTTGTAAGGTATGAGATTGATAAAAGACAAGATATTCAATTAGGTAGGGAGTGCCAAAATATCTAGATTGGCTTAGAGAACTTTGATGGCATGATAACTCTATAGCTCCAATATTGTCAATCTAAGCCGAATAGTAGCAAAAATATGAGGTCCGCTGTTAGAGTTAACTCCTTGCTCAGATTAGAAAAATTAGATTGACACAAAGAAAGCTCAGAAGCTAAAAAGACAAATATTAAACAAAGCAAGCGTTGGTAAATTGTATGCAGGGTGCCCTTAAGATCGCATAAGACATTTCCAACACTTAAATGACATGCACAAAACATGAATGCACATTAGTTATCAATAATGAATGTGTACGTCAAAATTACCTATGTGAGCCAATGAATTAAGGTGAAAATACATCTTGAGATCAAAGATAAAATTTTTTCGACCACAACAAATCTACATAAAGAAAATGTGCCCCTTTCAAATATGGTTTGTGTAGAATGATATGACAAAGATTCTATAGAAGAAAATTATGCGACAATAGTAATAATTAAGAGAAAATGATTCCAACAATGTAGGCCATCTTACTTCAAAACAATCTTACTCAACATTGGAGGCCATCTAATTTTTGGAAAGGAAATTTGATGTTTTTCTAGGCATTTGCTATTTAGAAGAAGAAAAAGAAGTAAAAATGATTCCCTGTCATCAACTTCCCACTCAATCTGTCTCTCCTCTTAGTCTCCTTGACTTATGAATTAGCCGATCTACCAATCTCTCTTGAATCTTTTATAGTCCCACATTTGAATGTCAACAATGGTTGAATCCACTCCATTAAAAGAGAGCAAATGCTTCTACTTGTATGATATTTTTTTATTTAACAGTTCTCGACACAAAAAATAATAAACTTTACAACATAGAAAATTTTCAATAAGAGGAACTTTTAAAAACATTAACATCATGTGAGATGATTGCAATGACATCCTCTCAAACTAAATAAAGCTTAGTGTCCATTATAGATGAGCAACAAACACAAAACCCAAACTAAGAGAAGAATCCTAATAAGAACATAATATATGAAACACGTGAAATAGAGAAGAATCTCGATCATTGACAACACAGAGGCACTACATGGTCTCAACGAGCCTTGAGATGACAACTCTACCATGGATTCCTCCTAACTAGACATGGCAAAAATTGATTAACATAAAAATATTTTCCTTAGTTCCACTCATTAAAAATATTATAATAATCAATATTACCTCAATTACCCCCTTCAGTTGTAGGTCCACTCATACATTCAAAAACAACATTAAACCTTTATCCCACTAAGTGGTGTCAGCTACATGAATCATTCTTCTCTATTGTGTCATATTGAGTGTCATATTTTCATTTAATTCTAATAAATTAAGACTATTCCAAAAAATAAAGAAAATTCCGATCATTCCCTTTGCTCAAGTTTCTAGTTGAATCGTCAAACCAAAAAGAAAATTTAAATAATCCAACTAGAGCACAAAAAATTAATTAAAAACCTAAGGTGCATTTTGGCTACGAGTAGATTTAATAAATCTTGTAAATTAGGATCAAATAAATTTAGAGGCATTTCAATCATAAAACATATATGCTATAATAGAGGTAAATGCAATTAAATCCTAATAAATTATTATTTGGCAATTTATTTTAGGATTTTCTATTAGTACAAATAGAAGTTCAATATTAAGTATTGATGATGTAATAATTAGGGCTAAACAATTTATTCTAATTTTTTATTATGTCTAATTATATGAATCATTAAATATTAGTTTAATATGCTAATTAAATATTTACTTATATTCAATCAATTTAAATAGAATTAATATTAATTTAATCAAGTTAATTATTTTTAATTTACTAAGATGATAAAAATAATTTTATTTTTATAAATTCTAATTAAACTAACATAATATTTTTTTTGATTAGTTATTAAGAACTTATAAATCTAATTAAGAGTATAAAACTCTATTTAATCAAATTAAATACAAATAATATTAATTTAATGAACATAAATATTTTTTAAGTAAGTAATACATGTCCTAAATTCTCTCCCTTCTTCTCCTACTCGAATCGCTGGACAAAAAAAGAAGTGTAGAAGTCACGATGGGAGCTTGCTCTCCATCTGTAGGATTTTGATCATGTGTTAGAAACTCTCATCTTTCTTACGCTTTTATTCCTACCCAAAACCCCCAAGGAATTAAAAGTGAGGAAGTCGCAACATACTCTTCTTCAAGGTGGTCATGCATGAGTATTCTACATATTTCTACACCTTTCACGCATGTTCTTTCACTAATTCTCTGATTGAAGAAATTTGAGAATTAGGCCGCAAAAAAGAAATGGCATTCAAGATTTTGTGGGATTTGAAAGGTCAGTTCAATGATTTGGCAAAATTTATGCTAAATTCAGCATAAATTCAGGTTAAATCCAGCTACCTAAGAGGTTGTTTGGTTCAAGTAGGATTTAAATAAAACAAGATTCGTAAATCTAATAAATCCAGATATAGCAAATCCTAAATTTTATTTGGTATAATAGAGGTTAAATTAGGTTAAATCCAGAGAAACTATTTAGCTACTTATTTTAGGATTTAAATCTACTAGTCATGTAGACAAGGGAGTTAAATTGAATACATGTTAATTACTTAAAAAAATTATTAAAAAAATTAAAAATTTGCATGATTATGATACCTATTATATTTATTTCACTATGCCGATCTGAACTAGACTAAATAAATCATAGTTACTTCCGGATTAAAGTTCAATCCATCCAATGCACAAATTTACTAAGTCCAGAGTTCAAGGTGAACATGGAGAGAAAGGAGATATTAACATTCTATAGGATTTAAAATTGTCATTTTCTCTGTTCGGCAGGATTTAGGTTAGTTCCAGCTCAAATCCTGCTACCAAACAGCACCTGAATGTGGCTCGGAATCGATATCATCAGATGCTAAACTTAAATTCAAAGAAGAATACAAGAAGAGAGGCAGACGGGAAACTCACTCGGCGACATCACCGAGCTGCCGCAAAATACCAACCAGCCCGGCGACTGCAACTCCATGGAGGATAGCTTCCGCGTCCTCCTTCCCGGAGGCAGCGTTTCGGTAGAGCTCCGGACCTCCGAGCCCATACTCGTTTCTCAATTCCAATCGCGCAAGCGGCATTCTCTATCTTTCTCTCTGAAACCAGTGAGAAGACGCCACACTCTGAAGCTGGGAATTGAACTCGGGCTGCGAGCTTCGATGGGCAGGACGGCGACGAGTACCAGAAAATACTTTTTGGGGCGGGCGGTGATGAGACTGCGGTGAGTCGACCGCCTAACTGTCGAACTCGCGCCTTTAGGTGGCGAGCGCGACGTTGCCCACAGCACAAGGCACCTCCACTGCTTAACGGTGTTGCCTTTCTGCATCTCTGTGATCTGGTTACCGGCTCAAATAATCATAATCTTAAAAACAGGCCTTTTAAAAAAAAGAAGATTTCCATACATGTATTTATTTCCTAACACTAAAATTTTAATTATTTACCTGCATACATCTTATATGTGCATGTCTATGCATGTGAAGGATGTATTTCAATTTTTAGAAATTAAAATAGTGATATTTTTCATGTAATAAAAATAATTTGAGTAATATAAAGGTAAAAAAAAAAAATTTATGAGTTATATTGTGTGCGAATGTCCCTTAAAAAAAAGAGAGAACGGATTCCCTCTTCTGAAGTGTTGCCTTGATTTGATCTGGTACTAAAGTATATTTGTTATTTAAAATATTTATAAACATAAATAATAAAATTAAATGGACCATAAACTAGTTGTATAGTGTTATTCAATTCAATTTTGAGGGAAAAAAATAATCACTTGAATTGATTCGATGTCATTTTTTTTTATTTTTCATAAGATTAATTTAAGAATATTAAAATTTCATGGATTACTACTTTGGGATTAATATTGCATTTATTAGAAAATGAGTATCTTTTACTTAATGTATATTGTTGGATTTATATATGTCAATGATAAGAATGAGGGTAAGATAGGTTAGAAGTCGAGAAAAAAAAGGTGTGGCATAAGAAGAATAGCTTAGAAGTAATCATTACAACATAAAAGTTCGGAGTGCCATACACGACGTCTTCCCCAATGGTTCATTGGACCCTTTATTTATAGAGTTTTTGATGCGAGAGTTAGATCACTGAAGCGACCCAATTAGTGGATGTCGAGGTCTCTTAATATGAATATATAAGAGGCCTATTTAAAAAAAAAAAAGTTTTTGGGGCTAGGCATATAGTAGTGGAAATTTTGAAAAAATATTTCAAATTTATGTCCCAAATCTTTAAACGCTTGTTTTCTTAAGATTTTTGTCTACACAAGTCCCAATTGGATAAATTTAGTCTTGAATTGCAGGGAATTAAGAAGTCTATGTTCAGATAAAATTTTTTAGTAGAATTGGCTTCTAGAATGTATAGAGGTCAGTTTTTCTTGATGCATTGTGTATCTCGGAGTCCGTGCCCGTACCTTAGTTCTGATATAAACTCAATCCTAAGCACTATCAAATACATGATAAAATAAAAGACTCGAGCTGCAGAAAAAACGCTAGAATAGATTAACAAACAACTCATATGAGCCATGCCTAACGAGAGAAGCAAAGCAGAGTATGCAGAAAATAGATAGTATAAATCATTACATTGCTCCTCCTTGTTACACGTGAGTGTGTGTGTGTTTTTAAGCATGACTCCCTGCAAGAAGAATCAACCTAGTATAATACTACACATGCACAAACATGCAAGTACGCAAAAAAGCACAAGTACTAAAAGGCACCTGGCCACGACAACCAAGCCAGCAAAGAACAATGGTCAGGTGCCAAAAATACTACCTAGCAACCTAGCCCTAGACTAGCGCACAATCTAATGGAAAGTGTCTTAAACAACATCTAAGTGCTCATGGTAAAATCTTTGTGTACGTAGGACTTTGATATGGTTGTTGTACTAGCCCCATCCTAAAGATCCAAGGGATCTAAAGGGGTGTCACCCAGGAAGTATTTTTAAAAGAACAGGTCTTATGTATGGCCTAGCTTGCTATGTGCATAGTTCTAAAATTATGATGGATATCTTAAGCAAAAAAAAAAAAGTATATTATTTTTGTTTAAAATGTGGCCATTAAATACAAACCCGTTACATGAAAAGTGACACGAGTTAGATCTCTTAAATCCTTAGCACAGTCATAACAATGTTGAGCTTGATGTAATAAATCAAATTGTTCGCTGGGATTGACCCAACAAACAACGCTCGTTAAAGCATTGTGACCAATATCAAGTCACTCGCCTAGCGAGCTTGGCTTGAAAGGAGGCAACTCTTGGAAGATTCATTGAATGTGGACACATTTTTAAAGAGACACTAAAGCACCTTTTGAAAATTATAAAAGAATGACTTGAATTGAATTAAGGTTGCCGCCCACCTCTCTTTGAGACTTCTTCCTACCACCCTTATCATAGAATAATTAGGATACTTTTAGAGAGAAGATAGGGAGTTGTAATTGTGATAGTATAGAGTATTGTAAGAGAAAAGAAAAGATTCAAAGGAACTTTAAGTGTTTGGTGGAGAGAAATTTGAGATAAGTTTTTATCTTTGTGACTACATTTGGTTTTAATTTAGATTTCTTGTGTGTTTACATGATTTCTACTTTTAAACTTAAATGTTGTTGGGTTTTCTCCATGAATTATGAGTAGTTTTTTTTATATTTTTTCCTTAAAATAATAAGTAATTAAGTGTTGGACGGAAGTTGTGTGAAGTAGTGATCTTTAATGCTAGAATAAGTTGTGATGATTTAATCATTGTACTTCATTTACTTCTTGATTCGACCAATTAAGATGTTAATATTTGTTGTGAGAACATGTAATATTAGAGATGATATTGTCTCAGTTAACTAAAGGTAAGAATAACATGAAATTGTATGGATGAGAATGTAATTCATATGGTTGAGTGCAAATAAATAAATAAATAAACTTTGAAGGGTGTAGAATTAGAGGACTTTTGAGTGACAGGCTAAAGCCCCCAATAGCCCCTCAATTCGATTTATTATTTTAGGTTTTGACATGAGATGTTAGCCCCTAGGTGGAAGGTCTAGAGTGAGAGCTAGTATCTTCCCTACTTAGTTCGTCTTCAGGACTATTCAAACTTTAAATTAGCCAATATTCTTTATAGCATCTCCAGTAAGGGTAAAGAGTAATATTTGTCATATTTGGCACAATACAAATTTAATACTTCCATAATAGAATTCCTATACTTATTAATGATTTATTATAAGGAAAAAGATATTTTATTTATATTATTTTGATCTTATAAAAATCTAGTTAAATTTAGTTAGTTGTTTACTTTATTTTCAATTATAAAAAATTACTAAAAAGAATCGAACTTTCATTCCTATTATAATATCTATAGTTTGAGTAAGAATATTTTTCAAAGTAGAGTTTGTTATCTAATTTATTTTTAAAAGATTGTAATTCTCCATGTGGGTTTGAGATTTGAGGCTTAATAAAAAAATTCTATATTACTTGATAACGATACATATATTTCCATATTATCCTAATATTTAAATATAATAGTTGCACTCTTATTTGCTTCAGAGTTAAGTTTTTGGCGCTGTTGTAAAGAAATAAATAAAAATAAAGAAAATTGAGAATATAACCATACATACTTCGTAGTACTATCGTAAAAGTCGGGATCAATTTTTTTGAGTCGTTGTCTGAGATTAAATTATTCAAGTAGTGGTGTCAACTTCATAAATTCTTACATATAAAAATTATCAGGATCAGACAACAATGACCAGAAGGGTTGAGTGTGCTAGTCGGTAGTGACAAGAAAGGGTTGGGTGTGTCATGGCGAAAGTGGCCCGAAGGGTTGGGTATGTCAAGGCGGAGGTGACTCGAAGGGTTTGATGTGCTAAGAAGAGAGTAACTTGAAGGGTTGGCTGTGGCTAGGTTGCAGTGACAAAAAGGGTTGAGTATGCTGAGGAGGCAGTAACTCAAAGGGTTGGGCATGCTCAAGAGACAGTGACCTGAAGGGGGTTTGAGTGTGCTGAGCGACGGTGACACAAAAGGGTTAGGTGTGGGGAGGAGGCAGTGACCTGAAAGGGTTGGATGTGTCGAGAAACAGTGATTCGAAGGGGTGGATATGCCAAGGTGGAAATGACCCGAAGGGTTGGGAATGATAAGAAGGTTGTGACCCAAATGTTTGGGTATGCCGAGGAGGCATTGACCCAAATGGTTGGGCATGCCAAAGAGGGAGTAACCCCAAGGGTTGGGTATGCTAAGGAGGCAGTGACCCGAAGGGTTGTGTTGATTCCCACTGGGGGAAATCACACACAAGTAAAGTAAGTGTGTGGACAAGAACTCAAGTGCAACTAAAATATGCAACAAATGCTCATGCAATAAGTATGCAAGTGTAGATGTGCATGCAGAAAGAAATGATCTGCACATTACACGAAGATGTAATGTGTGGAGATGCTAGGTATCTTGATCAAGTGAAGCATGACTACTAGCCATAAACGTATAGGGACGCATGTCCATGAGGTGCAAAATAAATGTCCCAGATGTGGATGTGTTGGTGTAAGCAAACAATGCACACCATACACAACAAATGATTATGCAAAGTATCATATGGACAATGCTCATGCCCGTATAAATCATGCATTATGTAGAATGCAATGTTAACTGTGCCGAGGCAGCCCATCAAAACAAAAATGAAAGGTTGACCATGTTGGGGAGATTGGTCAAACCAAAGTGTACGGTTGACTAGGCCGAGGCGGCCGATCGATTCATAATGCAAGGGCTATTAGAGTGTGATAACTCTATTTTTCTAAAATATAAATTTTTGCTAACTTTGCATTGCAGGACTGCTGAAGACAAAAGTCAGATATCATCCTAAATTTACTTTGCATGTTATTAGAGTGTGATAAATCTATTTTTTAGGGATGGAAATTCAAAACCTGGAATGAAGGAAGAACCTCAACTAAACACAAGCACATAGGATAATATCAAATATTTAGGACTCTACTATCTTTAGGATGAGACGTTGAAGTTTCTTACCTTCACAATGACATTTAAACTTTTCAAGAATAGATTATAACGTCAATGAGGAGTTTTCTTAAGTAGTTTTGACTACTTAAGATGTAATTAACTATAATGATTTACCCTTATACAAGAAGATGAACCCTAGAATAGGTGACACCACCTAAAATCTCTATTTGTGGGAGTTTTCTTTTTCATTAGGTTTTCTTCATTAATGTGTCTTCAAAGTGTCTTAAATTGACTATACTTTGATCAAGCACTTCGGAGCCGTCTACATGAAATTCACCTCTTGAAAGTATTATTGCCACATTCTTCTTTCATTTGACCCAATTATTATGGTCCTCCTTCCTCCCTGAGTTCTCACTTCTC